GTGTACTATTTCAGTCCTTCTTGGGACTAAATTGGTCCACTATTTAGTTTATAAAAGTAGACTTAAAAGAAGTATATCACAAGTAAAATTATACACCGATCAGGCATAACATTATGACTCCTTGTTTCTACACTCACTGTCCATTTTATCAGCTCCACTTACTCTATAGGTGCACTTTGTAGTTCTACAGTTACAGACTGTAGTCCATCTGTTTCTCTGATACTTTGTTAGCCCCCTTTTACCCTGTTCTTCAGTGGTCAGGACCCCCATGGACCCTCACAGAGCAGGTACTATTTGGGTGGTGGATCATTCTCAGCACTGCAGTAACACTGACGTGGTGGTGGTGTGTTAGTGTGTGTTGTGCTGGTCTGAGTTTTTAAACACCTCAGTGTCGCTGCTGGACTGAGAATAGTTCACCAACCAAAAATATCCAGCCAACAGCGCCCTGTGGGCAGCGTCCTGTGACCACTGATGAAGTTTGATGTTGTTGAAACAAAACCTTGTATCATCAAAATATTAACTTCACATGAGAAGGAAAAAAAGCTTTACTTTTAATGTAAGTCAATGGAACCAGACTTTTTTCAGAGTAATTTTGGGCCATTCATCATGAAATTTACACACAATGTAAAGGATGACAGGCATTTTCAAATTATGTAAAAAACTGAAAAATGTCAAAAATGGAGATACAAGGTTTTGTTCCGACAGCATGATGTATAATTCCACTCCTCTCCACAAGAGGTTGCACTTACCCAAGTTCTGATCATGTTTTCCCACCCGTTTGTCATGTGCAACTATTTTTAAGTGTATTTAAACCTTCTAGACTTTAACTAAGTTCTGAAGTCTTGTTTACAGGGAGGAAAGCAAAAAGTTTACCACTTCACTTCCAAAGTGTCTCCTGCCTTCCGCCCAATGACTGCTGGGATAGGCTCGAGCACCCCCTGTAACCCAGAAGGATAAGCAGCTTAGATAATCTGGTGTGTGTGAGAGAGTGTGTGTGAGAGTGTGTGTGAGTGACCGTCTAAGCAGTGTGACCAGCCTAAGACTGTAACATAAAAAACTGAAGTGTCACCAAAAGTCTGAAATCATTAAGAAAAATCAAGCAAGCAAAGTTTATTTCTATAGGTGTTGTCACAAAGCAGCTTTACAAGGAAATCAGCATTACAGAAAGAAATCCGAGTCCAAACCCCCATGAGCGTCGCCAGTGGTGGAGAAACAGGAAGAAACCTTGAGGGAACCCATCCTCCTCTGGACCACACCGGATAGTAAACATTTTTAGTATAAAGTATTAAAGTACAAAAACAGGGAAAACAGGTGGAGTAAATGATTAAATTGATTAGTTCATGCAGCAGGTTGTGAGGGTGAGGTTTGCACGACAAGCAGTGGCACCCGATCGAGGCAGAAGAGGCAACAGCATCAGACGCACAGGATGGGCAGCTGTTCAACTCGGCAAAGAAAAGAAAGAAAGGAAAACACACAGAGAGTCAGTTCTGTAATAGGTGACTGATTCATTTGATTAGTTTAAATGATTGATTAGTTCAAATGATTAATTTTGATTAGTTTAGTTCATGCAGCAGCAGCATCAGCAGCAGTGGGGTCAGGCTGTCAGGGTGAGGTTTGTGTTGTACAGCAAGAGGCTCAATGGTGGTCAAGCCGGTCCAGAGTGCTGGCGAGCAGTGGCACCCGATCAAGGCAGAAGAGGCAGCAGCATCAGACGCACAGGATGGGCAGCTGTTCAACTCGGCAAAGGAAAGAAAGAAAGGAAAAACACAGAGAGTCAGTTCTGGAATCACAGATTACAGTGTTAGCAGAGCAGCTGAGACTCTGGCAGGTCTAGAACTGACAGGGAAAACTAATCACCAAAGGCTCGACTATACAAGTAAGTTTTTAGCCTAGACTTAAACACTGAGGCTGTGTCTGAGTCCAGAACATTAACAGGAAGACTGTTCCAAAGCTGGGGGGCTTTGTCTGAGAAGGTTCTCCCTCCTGATGTAACTTTATTAATTCTAGGTACTAATAGTGAGCAGCACCTTGTGATCTAAGTAGGCGTGATGGTTCATAGTGGGAGAGAAGTTCACTCAGGTACTGAGGGGCGAGTCCGTTTAGTGCTTTATAGGTCAGTAAGAGAATTTTATAATCAGTCCGAAATTTAACTGGTAACCAGTGTAAGGTTGATAAAACTGGGCTGATACGGTCAAACTTTCTGGTTGTTGTGAGAACACTGGCTGCAGCGTTCTGGACCAGCTGAAGCTTGTTAAGGCTTTTGCTGGGACATCCAGCCAGCAGGGCATTACAGTAATCTAGCCTTGAAGTAACAAATGCATGAACTAACTTTTCTGCCTCCTGTACAGATAAAGCATTTCTCAATTTAGCAATATTGCGGAGATGCAGGAAGGCTGTTCTAGTAATATTAGTTATGTGTGCGTCGAAGGACAGATCAGGGTCTATAATGACACCAAGGCTTTTTACAAGTGAACCTGATGCAGCTGAGAAATTGTTAAGTTTAAGTGTTAAAGTAGACAGTTTGTTTCTGGCTGCTTTTGGACCAAGAAGTAGAACCTCTGTTTTATCTGAGTTTAGAAGGAGAAAGTTACTCGACATCCAGTCTTTTATGTCTTTTATACAGTCCTCAATCTGGCTAAGTTTAATTCTATCATCTGGGTCGCTTGCTAAATATAACTGAGTGTCATCAGCATAGCAGTGGAAATTTATGCCGTGTTTACTGATAATGGTGCCCAGTGGTAGCATATATAATGTGAATAATACAGGTCCTAAAACAGAGCCTTGTGGCACACCATACTTTACTTTTGCGAGGGCAGATGATTCACCGTTTAAATTAACAAACTGATAGCGATCAGTGAGGTAGGACCTGAGCCAGGAAAGAGCTATTCCTGTTACCCCTACAAGGTATTCTAGTCTGTCTAGTAAGATAGTGTGGTCTATTGTGTCAAATGCCGCACTAAGATCGAGGAGGACTAACAAGGACACATTTCCTTGGTCAGAGAATAATAAAAGATCATTTACAGTTTTTACTAGTGCTGTCTCTGTACTATGATGAGGCCTAAAACCAGATTGAAATTTTTCGTGTATTTGATTCCTATGAAAATAGGAGCTTAATTGTTTTGCTACAACTTTTTCCAAGATCTTAGATATAAAGGGGAGATTCGAGATGGGTCTATAATTTGATAGTCGCATGGATCGAGGTTAGCTTTCTTAATCAGAGTCTAATTACTGCTAGTTTAAGAGATTTTGGGATGTATCCAAGGATAAGAGAGGAGTTTGTTATTGACAGAATAGGCTTGGTTATTTCTGGCAAAATTTCCTTGAGTGAACCTGTAGGAATCAGATCTAGCAAAGGTAAACGATTCCAGCCTCTCTGCAGGGATCATAATATTCTCAAGACTGAGGCTGGCATTGTGGGGAAGCAGGTTTGTAGAGTTTAACTGTGCGTTCTGAATTTTCTGTCTAATTTTTTCAATTTTATCACTAAAGAAGTTCATAAAATCGTTGCTGCTATAGGCTGATGGTATCTGGGGTTCACTAACTGTTTTGTTCTCTGTTAGTTTAGAGATTGAGCTGAAAAGTAATCTAGGATTATTCTTATTGTTTTCTGTGAGAGAGGAGAGAGAGGCTGAGCGTGCTGCAGTCAGTGCTCTTCTATAGTCTATAAGGCTCTCCATCCAGACGGACTGGAACACTTCTAGCTTAGTTAGGCACCATTTTCGCTCTAGTTGTCTGGCGGTCTGTTTGAAAGCCTGAGTGTGGTCATTATACCAAGGGGCAGCTTTTTCTGCCTTACTAATTTACTTTTTAATGGGGCCACACAATCTAGAGTAGATCAAAAAGTATCCTCTAAGAGCTTGGTCATAACGTCGAACTCGGTAGGATTGGATGGACAGCTGACAGAGGCTGGTAATTGAATGTTTCTGATAAAGCTACCAGCTGTGGAGGAAGTTATTGTCCGCTTAACATGAGAACATGGTGATGACGCACATTACTACTGAAGTGAATTTCATATGAGATTAAGCAATGATCTGAGACTGCTGTGCTCTGGGGGAGAATGGCTAAGTTATCTATGTCTACACCAAAGGTCAGTATTAAGCGTCAGTTATGATTCATGTTTGCACTGAATCCATACAAACCGGTTTCACATCCTTCCCAGTGCAGGGAGAGAGCTTCAGTGCCATCTACTGTATGCTTTTTGTATGTAAAAAGTTATGAACCCAATTTCCTGTTGTTCTCCATTTCAATACACTTGACATACTTGAGATTTATATATATATATATATATACATATATATATATATATATATATATATATATATATATATATCTATCTTTTATTTAAGGGTAATCACATTGAGATAACTACATAATAGTAATCTGTATAATATTCAGTGCCCAGTATGAAATCTGCAAGCTTCTAAACATATTTATAATCATCAACACATAACGAGACACAAAGAACACAGAACATTTCCTGTGTTGTAAATAAGATTAAGAAATACTTTTATTTTCTTGAAAAACTGCCAGTACAACAATATACACTCTCATTTCTCTAATGTGCAAATAGTTTTCACAATCCCAATCACTGCCATCTTGGCAGCTTTAACACATTCCTTCATAAAAATGTACTTCTCAAACTCAACATAAACTTTATCTTCATTTCTTCTCACCTCAGTCATGTGTTGAGTGAGGAATTACACTTTCCTTCAGGACATTGCAGCTACATTCAATACTGGGGGGTTCATAACATGTTAATCGTAACGATTATGTCACATTCAACAAGCTACGTCCAGTTTTCAAGTTTCCACTCGCTTGTTTAAAATGTCAAATGAAAGTAAATATATAAAAAGTAGAAAACGGAAAAGATAAAAAAAAAATTGTTTAGCAACGAAATGATTTCAGAAATGAATGAAAGTGACTATTTGGTTTTCAGCTTATATCTCTTCATTTTCTGTCTTAAAAACAAGCTTCTCCAGCTTTGGCTTTACACTGTAAAGTTTTGTGCAAATTTAGACTGGTGCTTTTTCATTTTGTGATCAGATGCAAGTAACGCAAGTGCAGCCTGCAGCTGTTTCTGAATTGCTTTGTATAACTGTCAAGTTTCATGGAACGTTTGATGCATTTTACATTGGTTGCACTGAAGTTTCACCTTGTAAAGCCAGTCTAACACACACTCAAATAGGGGGATGGGAGCAAAAAGCTCCCAGTAACTCCAAACTGTGCAGTTTATTGCTGACATTCACAGAGTTCACCACAACTTCATCTCCCTCACATCTTCAGTGGAGCGGTTTGCTTATAGGCGTAGCAGAGCAGTAGTGATTAAGGCAGTGGGAAAACCTTTAGGCACTGGCATGATGGTGGCTGATTTGAAGCATGTTGGGACAGCAATCTGCATCAAGGAGAAGTTAAAGATGTCTGAGAAGACATTAAGCTGGGCTCCTTGAGCTAATACCTAGGAAATCTGTCAGGGACAGCAGCTTTGCAGGGGTTCATCCTGAGTGCTGTGAGTGCTGCTGCATCTCCTGATCCACATGTAGGGTTAGGGTGGGGGTCTCAGTGCTCAGCCAGCACCTCTGGTTGGGTTGTGGCAGCATTCTTAAAGATTATGTCAAAAACTGAAAAAAGGCAAAAATGGAGATATAAGGTTTTGTTCCGACAGCAGCGATAATTACATTTATATGTAGTTCTATTAATGTGTAATTACATTATATAATACACATCATCCCTGTTAGTACAAAATCTGGTATTTTATACCTTTTTTTTACATAATTTGAAAATGTCAGCTGTAAAATGGATGAATGGACCAATAGAAATGCTCTACAAACTACTTGAAATATTTTTGTACATTAACTTTTTTCTTTCCCCTGTAAACCAATTTGGAGATATGATGTTTTGTCCCAGCATAGATGTGATGTGAAAATGCACACTGATTTATTAATAATCAATTATCATGCTGTCTATAAAAATAACAAAGCTATCTCTCAAATCTCTAACAAATCTAAATCTAACTCTTAAAAATAGACTAAAATCGTGTGTTTAACAGAGTGAATGACAGTAAAATATAGAGGTCGTAACATAGTAATGTCAAATACTCTCACATTCTCTGAAGATGTACTGTAGAGAATTTCTGAAGTTCCATCCCTTCTCCTCAGCAAAGAAGTAGACGGTCTCAAAGAGGTCAGGAAACCGTGAGGTGAACTTTATGGATGGAGCCTCTTCAGCTCTGTAGAAGGAAAATAAAGAAACAGGAATCTGTGATTTACTGAATATTCCAGAATATTTCAGTGAAAGGAAGGATTTAAGAGCAGTTTTAATTACAGGTAAAAATGCAGCACCAGACATCTAATTGCCTAAAAAACAACCACAAAAAACTTTTGAATAAAACTAAAAAAGAACTCACTTGTGTTGAAACACATTGCGTATGAAGTGCAGAAGCCCACATGGATCATTTGGGTAAGGTTTTCCATTTCTCTCCCAATAATCATCCATCTTCTTCAAAAGCTCAGCAAAATCTTTTTCCACCTGAATCAAAACAAAAACTATTAATAAATGAATTAGATGGTCAATTGTCACTCAGTGTAATGAACCTGCAGTTAAGCAAAAATATGAAATCACATATTTGCAAAGACAGTTTTATGAAAATTTTAATTTACACAAATGTAGATAATCAGCCAAGATGGGTTTGGTGTCTGAAATTCACTTCTTTAGTTTTAACACTGGAGCTATGAGGCTAATGACAAGTAATGGATGCTTATCCCCCAGTTAGCATGGTGCTGACTGCATGCTTAAATCATCTCAGACTTGATTATGTGGTTTCTGACTGACTGTTATCAATAAACAGGTACCAAATAGGCCACTTCACCCAGCTGGAACTGCAGTGGTATCATATTTCACTGCTTTCTGTTTTTATTAACTTTGGAACTGGGTTTGTAAAATAATCTCCTTAAATAAGCAAAAAAGAAATACTTGGAACGCAAAACAATTTAACATCAAACTTAACGTGTTAACAGTTAAACCCACCTCTTGTCGCCAGTTCACAAAAGACTTGCCCTTGGATTTTTTGTTGAGGTCATGTTTGGCATCTTTATGGTGTTGTTTGACCTCTGAAAAGTTCCCCACAGCCTGCAGGTACCTCGTCTTTCTGTGAAATATAAGTTCACGAGAGAAAAACTGTAAATGAAAAGCATGTACAGTGTGTCTTTCACTCAGCTGACAGCCTAAAAGCCACGGACATTAAAATCTTTATGCCTTTGTAAATGTCATGTCCCATAGTTCTGTGCAGTACAGCTGTGATGCACATGTATTCTTTTGTCTATTCATGTGTGCCAATATTAAAGCCAAAATAACACAGGAAATAAAAAAAGCTTTAATAGTACTGCACATTAGTTTAAGAGAAAACACCCAGTGTTACTGTCTCTAACCAAACTTCAGGTTTTTTATGTATTTTTCCACCAAACACAGCAGAAAAGTGACTTTGTGTACGTTAGCCTGTGCTGTTTAATCAGCTTTTCACAAATTCAGTCTGAGTCTCTCTCACCTGCTGTCGGTCCAGAAGATGGGGTGGTAGAGAACATCCTCCAGACTTCTCCTTTTTGTTGGGTCTGGGTGGGTCATCCACTCAGTGAGGTCCAGTATGATGTCCTTGTTAGTCCAGCTGCCATCACCGTCAGACTGAGGGTAAGACTCTCCACCAGAGAGGATATAATATGCCAGTTCACCAGTTTTCTGAAATGGAGGAGAAAGACTTCATCAGAGATAAATGTTCAGAGCTTTTAGAAGACTAAACAGATACTCTGAGTCTGATTACTTACCTGTATTTCTTCTTGGATCTTGCCATCACCAGCCTTCACTCGTTCAGCCTTTTCAAAATTGATCAGTTTGGCACGTCCATCGTTATCTGTTTAAACAGAGAATTGTCAATACATCAGTTGTCATATAATTTTATGCATACCTGAATTTATGTCTTGTCATGTCTTACCCACTACAACATGCTGCTTTTTGATATCACCGTGAACGGCGTTGAGAGAGTGAAAGACATTTAAAATAAAAAGAATGTCCATCACAAGTAGAATCAAATCCTCCTTTCCTGGATGACCATTCATGATGTAATCTTCTAGTGTTCTCCATCCATGTTCTGTGTTGGGGTCACTAGTAAAGCTCTTAATAATATGCAGATAATGAAGTAGCAGATACACTGGTCTTGAGACCGTGATAGAGGGACTCTCTGACTGACGATGCTCCCTGTTTGGTTGAGTCCATGGCTGGGAGCCTGAGCTGTTCGTCTCTTGAACTGGATAACCTCCGCCTATTGAACTCATCATGTATTTGCACTGTGGAAAAAAAAGGAGAATAAATCAGAAGAAGCATAAATAGGTCATTTAAACATCATTACAGTACAGGCTTTTGGTGGGATGTGCATAACTGGCCTCCTCTGAGTTTTTATTTATGATTCTGTGTTCTATAATAGTTATTTGAAATATGATACTTGCATATCAGACATTGGACACAGTTGCATTGGTGAGATGACTGTAAGCAAAGTTAGGAGGATATTAGCACGTGTTAGCAGAGTGAGAGAGAACACCAAAGGGTAAAATTGCACATCGTCGCTTCACTCCACACCACATTACTTGCACAATCTCCTGTGTCACAAATATAAAAAGCAGGAAACATAATCAATGTCTTCTAAATAGGAGCCAATTAGACGCCATAGTGCAACAAGAACATAAGAGTGGTGAATTAGTTGCTAATTTTTTGTCACTAAAAAGAAAACAATACAACACAAGTTCTGTGAGTGGAAGTCGTTTTGTACTGCAAATTCAGGCCCTGACTGGACCATCCAATGGGTTTTATGGACACCTGAGCAGCTAGGGGCCCTCATAAGCAATTATGAGAAGATCTAAACAGCCTTTCGACTCTCAACGATACTAGTGGCACGGTGCACAAAAATTAAGTTATGAAGTGAAATGAATTTCAAAATGTTCATTGTATTGCAGCCAATATCAACCCTGATGCTCTCCATATCTGTCCTGAGCATCTGCTTCATCTTCTCCTCCAGTTGCTGCTTAGTAACCATTCAGTTAAATGCTATTAGCTAGATCAAGCTTTCAGGTTTATTTGCAATGAGCTGCCGTTACTTTGAATGTACTTTGATTTGATACTTGAGATATTCAGAAGCAATGTCTGGGGAAACTGTAAAAATGAGACCTGACACTCTGACAGAGAAGAGCACACCCACTTCCAAAGACAAATCTAAAATGTCAGCCAAAATTAAAGTAAAAAGTTGCATTGGCATTTTTTGGTAATGATCTGCAGACTGCAGGCTTGTTTGCATAAAGTCATCAGAGGTGATGTTTAAACAGAGGTGTAAATAATGAATTACATTTACTCTTGTTACTGTAATTGAGTACAGTTTTCCCTGTAACTGTGCTATTTTGAGTAGAATTAAATTGTAGTACTTTCACTTTTACTTCAGTTAATTTTTAATTAAATACTTTTAATTTGCTACTTTAATTTTTAATAATGTTATAGAGTAAAAATAAGCATTTTAGTTCATAAACCAAAAAGAACAAAGCATGGTAAAAAAAACAAAACAAAACAAAACAAAAAAAACAGCAGCTCCAGCAGGAAACTGCAAAGGGTCCAGTTTAGCAGAGAAGGACAGAGGAGAACTTAACCAGCACACCCGAGGAACAGACCACGTCCAAACGGTCATCTGTATTCATCTAATATTAACTAAAGAAAACAGCATTATTATCAGCAGCCAAACACGAAACCTGCTGAGATCTGCTCTCACAACTCAACTTGACTGAGGGAGCATTAGCTGAGCTAAACAGGTCCGATGTTTACAGTTTCCTTCTTTTTTTATAATGATGCTGTTTATTAAACTTGAAATCTGTTGCTCATATTTTACTACAAGAGTCTGTCGGCTACTTTAATGAGGTTGCTGAAGTGTGGGGCCTTTTCTGTGCCGTCATGCTGACTCACCACCCTGCTGCCAATGCTAACATTAGCTAAAGGCTAAATTCTCAAATTTAAAGAAAGGAAACACAATACATAATGTTTATATGTTTTGGATTTCTGCTTTAATAGTTCTGAAATGTGATCTCTTGATCTAAATTACCATAATTAATAAAGGATTTATTTACAATTCGTTTAGTACAGCTGATGAACATGTGGTTGAAAACCATGTGTGGGGCCTGTTCTGTGCTGCCATGCTAACTCCCCACCCTGCTGCTAATGCTAACACCGTATTTGGCTCCTACTGAACACACACTGGTTTGGAATATGTTTATTAGTCTAATGCAGCTGATAGACGCAACTGAGCTTCTCACTACTCTGTTATTACCGTGGTTAGTCACCATTTAGCTACTTTCTAATGAGACTGGACGATGGAGAGCTTCTGTAACAGAATTAGCCAAAAGCTAAATGCTAACACATGATGAACATGTGGTTGAAAACCATGTGTGGGGCCTGTTCTGTGCTGCCATGCTAACTCCCCACCCTGCTGCTAATGCTAACACTGTATGTAAATGTTAACTGCTCTTCATTATTTCCCCCTTTTTCCTCTTTTACTCTGTTCATGTACATTTAAATACAGAAACAGTAATAACAGTATCATCACAGATCTAAAGGCTAATCCACCTGATTGTATTAACTCAGATTTTCCTCCTGCCGCTAAGAGTAACAGCGCTGAGTGTGAGTTACGGTGACGAAGCCGAATTTCTGGACAGACTAGAAAGATAAATCCAAATGAGAACTAAAATCAAAGTTTCTTTGCAGAGCAAATACTGTATGCAAAGTTTACAGAATTGAATATGATGATCCAGTGTGACACAAACAAGCACAATAACGTAAATTCCGAAATGGTGTAAATTCCTTTCTATTCACTGCCAACTCAGAGACAAAGAGCGCAATACGAGAAAAAAGTAGCAACAACAATTCCGTTTTGACGAAGGCGTAACATTAATATGTCAAAGCAGGTGTCCTTACCTCTTGGCGCCGGTGTGTGTGTTTCCTCGCCGACGGCTCGTATAGTGGCAGGCAGGTCTGAACAGGTTACAGTAATAGAATCAGATGACGTGTGTGGAGCCAATCAGACAGTGTTCTGTGTGAAGCTCAATGAATATTAATGAGCTTTCCCCATGCATCATACCCAAAGAAACTTCACAAATAAGGCTATTTATGCTAACTCATCACCCTGCTGCCAATGCTAGCATTGGCTAAAAGCTAAATTCTCCAATTTAAATTAAAGAAAGAAAATACAATACATACATTTATATGATTTGGATTTCTGCTTTAATAGTTCTACAATTTGTTTAGTACAGCTGATGAACATGTGGTTGAAAACCATGTGTGGAGCTTTTTCTGTCATCATGACACCATCATAATATCATACAAGAAAAAAGTAGCAACAACAATTCCATGTTGATGAAGGTGTAACATTAATATGTCGAAGCAGGTGTCCTTACCTCTTGGCGTCGGTGTGTGTTTCCTCGCCGACGGCTCGTATAGTGGCGGGCAGGTCTGGACAGGTTACAGTAATACCTGCCAGAGGAGACTGTTCTGTAGCCTCTGTAGGAGAATCATTTAAAATCAAAAAATTTTTTCAAAACAAATATTTAAAAGTCTTTTTAAAGAAGTTTCCTCATCAAAACGCCGTTTGAGAGAGCTTAGGTCTGTGTAGCCTTCTTGGTGCCTTCTGAAGTTTGGTGCGTAAAACAGCCAACAACTGAATAAATGCCACTTACGTAATGACGCATATTGTGTAATTACGTTGTAACCATTGCCCATGGTTACTTAGGCTCCATTGAGTACCATTAAGTATTTCTTAAATAAAAAGTATTTCTTTCTGGAATGGCGGACTCTTGCCAGAGGGCAACCTTGGGCCATGACTCAATGGTATTTTTAAGTGAAGAAGTGAGGCATTGTGAGTAACCGTGTGTTACAAACAGTGGGGTTGCTACTACTGTTGCTGCTGTTTGTTTGTTTGTTTGTTCATGTGTAGTCCTTATATTGGGAAACCAAAGGTTTTATGCTCAGTGTAAGTATGTATATGCTCAATGTGTTTATTTAAATAAGTTTGATATTTTGATAAGACATTTGATAATGTTTCTTGGTGGCCTAGGCCACTGCGGCAGAAACTAGCTCTTGGTACGTGGAATGTAACCTCACTGGGTGGGAAGGAGCCGGAGCTTGTGTGGGAGGTTGAGAGGTACCAACTAGATATAGTTGGGCTCACCTCCACCCACAGTATCGGCTCTGGAACCAAACTCCTGGATAGGGGTTGGTCCCTCTCCTACTCTGGGGTTGCACAAGGTGAGAGGCGCCGGGCGGGTGTGGGGATACTCACGAGTCCCCGGTTGGCGGCAGTGCAGTTGGAGTTTGTCCCGGTGGACGAGAGGGTCGCCTCAATGCGTATTAAAATCACAGAGAGGAAAACTCTGACTGTTGTGTGTGCTTATGCACCAAACAACAGGTCGGAGTATTCGGCCTTCTTGGAGCAAGTGGGCGGGGTTCTGGAAAGGGTCCCGACTACAGACTCCATAGTCTTACTGGGAGACTTCAATGCTCATGTTGGCAATGACTGGGAGACCTGGAGAGACGTGATTGACCGGAGGGTGTGTGCCAGCTATCGGGGTATCACACTGCTCAGCCTCCCTGGGAAAGTCTATGCCAAGGTGCTGGAAAGGAGACTTCGACCGATAGTTGAACCTCAGATTGAGGAGGAACAATGCAGATTCCGCCCTGGCTGTGGAACAATGGACCAGCTTTTCACCCTCTCACAGATTGTTGAGGGGGCATGGGAGTTTGCCAACCCAGTCTACATGTGTTTTGTGGATTTGGAGAAGGCTTGTGACTGTGTTCCCCAAGATATCTTGTGGGAGGTCCTCCGGGAGTATGGGGTGCCGGGGTTACTACTCCGGGCCATTCAGTCTCTGTACGCCCGGAGTGAGAGTGTGTTCGTATACTCGGCATTAAGTCTGACTCTTTCAGTGTTAGCGTTGGACTCTGCCAGGGTTGTGCCCTGTCTCCACTCCTGTTTGTGATATTCATGGACAGGGTGTCAAGGCGTAGCCGGGGTCAGGACGGCATTATGTGTGGAGCCCGGAGGGTGGTGTCTCTGCTATTTGCAGATGATGTTGTTCTTTTGGCTGGATCACATGGATGCCTCCAGCGCACACTGGAGCGGTTTGCAGCTGAGTGTGAAGCGGTTGGTATGCGGATCAGCACCTCCAAGTCTGAGTCCATGGTCTTAGCCCGGAAAAGGATGGTATGCCCACTCCAGGTAGGGGGAAAGGACTTGCCCCAGGTGGAGGGGTTTAAGTATCTCGAGGTCTTGCTCACGAGTGATGGGAAGAAGGATCGTGAGATCGACCGCAGGCTGGGACAAGCGGCAGCAGTAATGCGGTCGCTGTACCGGACTATAGTGGTGAAGAGGGAGCTGAGCCATAAGGCAAAGCTCTCTGTTTACCGATCGGTCTACATCCCGACCCTCACCTATGGTCATGAGCTGTGGGTAATGACCGAAAGAATGAGATCGTGAATACAAGCAGCGGAAATGAGCTTTCTTCACAGGGTGGCGGCTACACTCTATTTGATAGGGTGAGGAGCTCGGCCATCCGGGAGTAGCTCGGAGTAGAGCCGCTACTCCTCCGCATTGAGAGGAGCCAGCTGAGGTGGTTCGGGCATCTGATCCGGATGCCCCCTGGACGCCTCCCGGTGGGGGTGTACCAGGCACGGCCTACCGGAATAAGACCCCGGGGTCGTCCTAGGACCCGCTGGAGGGATTATATCTCCAAGTTGGCCTGGGAGCGGCTTGGGGTCCCCGGGAATGAGCTGGAGGAAGTTGCGGGGGACAGGGTCACCTGGGATTCTCTGCTCTCCCAACTGCTACCGCGACCCTATCTGGACTAAGCGGTTAACGATGATGATGATAATGATGATGATGATGATGATGATTTTGATAAGATTTGATAAGTTTAATAATTAAGATAAGAACATTGATGGTGTTTTGTTGTGTTATAGAAGGACTTCATTTTACCTTTTTGAACTGTTATGGGCTGAATTACGGACAATGGAATGGAGGGTCGCTGACCAAACGCTCTCCTTTGATGTTGGACTTATACATGGGCTTTAAGGACTAGGATCATCTGACCACTTTACACCGAATTGATCATCTGATGCTGTAGCCTGGAAAACAACACCTTTTGGACTCAAGCTGCTCACTTGGTGAGATCAGTCCATTATTTCCTTTCAAGCAGAGACTTAAACCCTGGTTCAGACTCAAAGACAGTGGACAGTTCTTACTCAAAAGACTTCATGAATATAACACTGGATGATACCTGTTTGTGTATTTTGTAAACATGTTACGGGTGTAAATACAAACTTTGTGCACGCAGTATAATGCAGTGATTCCATTCTGTGCAAAGTTACAAGCTGCTAGATAAAGAGTCCCCTTCAGATAAAGTAATCAGGCCCTTTTTCAAAGAGGTTTGTTACAACGTGATCCGTGATGGGTGCCTTAAAACAACTGTTATCAACTGTGGATACAAGATCTGCTCTCAAATAAAAAGAAAGAAAAGAAAGACAGTATAAACTCTTCTTGATTTCTGTATGAATTGCAAATAAAAGAGATTTCTTTAATCTAAATCAAAATAATAAATAAAGGATCTATCTACAGTCCAATCAGTGCAGGTGATGGATGTGGGAAAACCAATCAAAATTCGTCTTTTACCCATGTCCCCAAGCTCAGTGGTAGGCTATTTAGAGGGGCAGCTAATGTAGCTTGGCTATGAAGCTAAGTTAAGTTTTTATACTTTCCATACAGTTCAGTCAGAAAGTACAGTAGTACAAGGTAAAAGTTCAGTTTAAAGTGTATCAATGCTGCTGACTCAGTGAGTGATTTCAAATATAGGCCACTATTAAAAAGAGAAGCAGTTACTTAACCAGCAATACCAGGCCTGACAACTTTTATACTTTTGTTTCAGGGCTAGTATTTAGTAAGTGTTTAATTTTTTTTGTGTCTTATTTGCACGTCGATCCTATTTGCACAATGAATGCCATTAACGTTTAACTCATATCATTAAAACGTTCTGCATCATTTCATAAGAGTCATTTGGGTCAACAACAACTGATATTTTTTAGAAATGCAGACATTTTTAATTTTCCAGCCACTAAAATGCCATCTCAAATATTACTGCTTGTACCAACGTAAGATTCTTACCACAGTTTCCACATCAGCACTACATTTATACATTTAATAACCATCACTTTTAAGTGAATTGAAACATATAAAATATTATCATTTTTGCTACAGAAGTACCATGATGAGGAGTGACCACAGCCTACTCTAATGAGGGCAGAATAGAGTCCAATTACATGTAGAATATAAACCTGTTTAAAAGTGTCTGTTATCACTAACCAGCGGCCTAATTCTTCACCTGATTTCAGATGATGAGCACAGATTTTAAAGCTAACAGCTACACAGTGAAAATGGGTAGGAATAACCTCCTTTTAGCAGTTTAGCTAAAACCGTTTAGCTTGTAAATAAAAACCTTGTTCATTTTGCAGCGTTTTTGCTGCCATGCGTAGCCATGAACGCTGCTCAACTCTTACCATTTTTATTTATGAATTGTCTTGTTACTGATTATGTTTAGTTTACTGACCAAGTCGGCTAGTGACCTTTTCATTTTCATTTGTCGTAAGTATAGTGAAGTACAATAAAAAGTACAATAAAAATTCTACTGATGCACAACAATCTTTTACTTTAAATTAACCTTTTTATTTATACTTCTTCATATTTCACCCATTTATGGAGATATTTTTAAATAAAATGTTAATGATATAGACATAGTTCAGGACTGTGCATCAGTAATTTCCTGTAACTGTACTTGAAAATAAATGTAACATAATGCAATGTACTACCTACATTTCAGGTATTTTGACTATTCAGTAAAGAGACACTGTCTCTGAAACAGTGTGGTGAGGTTTTCACTCCAGTTTACTCACAGATAG